AGGGACTGTCTGTCACCCATCCTCATAATTCTCACAATGCTTACCCATTGAAACAAACTGATTTGTGAGCCCCTGATCACAGTTATATCCCACGGGAATAAAAGAATTGCAGGTCAAGTGATTCTGAGCCACTTGGACTTCTTTATAGACACATTAAGAGGAAAACCACGTCAACCTGATGTTTTTGAGTCTTTCCATCTTATCTCACCATCTTTCTTATACTACCACACTTTTCATTCAATAGGTGTTTGGGGGGGCCCCTGCCATGTGCCAGGCAGTGACACAGCATGGGGATGGCAGCAAGAAGGAGGACAGGAGCACCATCCAGGAGCTTATGGGAAAGGCCTGCTGGGCAATTCAAGGGAAAGGGAACAACTGGTTTCTACCTAGGAAACCTATTCTATGGAACAAGTTATTTCAGATCATCTTTGCCATTTCCCCAGAAATTCTGTATGACAAAGTCCATATGTGAAAAAGACTGCTGCCTGCAGTGATCTGGTGGTCATCACCACTTACTTTAAGTTTTTTCGTCTTATAGAAATCTCTTTTAAGTTTGATTTACCTGATTGCATATGACACTGTCCTGGGGACACCTGTAAAGCCACTGGCAGCTGTCCTCAAGGTCCTAAGGCTAAAGCCTCTGCTTTTTATGCTCTTTTCATCTCCTGTGTCAGTGTCCCCACTTGATCGCTCTCCCATTCATTCATTCATTCTTTGAAAAAGTGTTTATTGAACTTCTAACTATTGAAGCATTTTGCTAGGTATTAGGTATATAAAGATGAATAAAATACTGTCACTTTCCCAGCAGACGAAATCATACTCTAGTGGGAGAGACAGATATATGAATTCATAATTACAGTGTAATATGCTAAGTGCCTATAAGAGACATAAGGAAACATAAGGGCACCTACTTTCTCTCTGTTCCTACTTATCAAAGTCAGGGAAGAATCTGATCAATTAATTCATGCTGAGATACAGAAGTCTGATGGGACTCAAGTGTGTTACCTTTCCCAGGGGCATTTTTGCTTATTTCACAGCATCTTCATTTTTAGCATGTTTACTAATGAAAGCCAACATCTCGTGTCTGTTGAAATTTTTCTAGTTCTAGTACTATTCCTTTCACTCTGGCTTACATCATTTCAGTCTCGTTCTCATTCCAAATATCTCCCTGCCTCCCTCCTCTTCCCTCTTCAGAGCATTCTTCACAAATCTGTCAGATGAATTTGCCTATAGCCCAGTTTTGATCATAGCCCTTAAATCTGCTGTCCAAGCAATTTAAACTCTCTGCACCTCAATTTCCTATAATAACCATTCTATAATGGTTAGAATGATGCCCTGATGATTTCACTGAATATCTGTAGTGACAAAAATGAGATGTTTATGAAAAATCTTAATAATCGTAAGGAGCTATACACATATATTATTACTGTTATGTTTTACTGCCCAGCTTAGAAGTTTTCAGTGGGAGATCTATCTGCAGCCCAGCCCTACACACTCCATTTCAGCTCACTTTGTCAAGCTCTCTGTTCCACAAAATGAATGCTCTGATTGTACAAATTTGGTCTATTCAGCATCCTCTGAGCATGTTTTCTTAGAGCCAGGTCTGAACATTTTCCACACTAGTCCTTCCACGTAGAATGCTTTCTCCTCCACTTCTACTCCCTCCCTCATCTCCCTTACCCAAATCTGACTGCCTTTCTAGCTAACTCAATTTCTACCTCTTCACTAAAGCATTCTTCAGACCACTCTGGCTCTTGGCAATTTCTCCATCTCCCAAGTTCCCTCCCACAGTACCACACACCTGGCATGTAGTGCAGCAGCCTTGTTGATAAATTTATGCAACTTTTCACATCCATGGGAACTGTTCCTCCCCTAAACTGAATGCCCCTTGTTATGGGTTGAGTTGTCCCGTGCCCCCCCCCCCATTCATGTGTTCAAATCCTAATCCCCAGCACCTCAGCATATGACTGTATTTGGAGATAAGGTCTTTAAAAAGGTAATTAAATTAAAATGAGGTCATTAGGGTGGGCCCTAATCCAGTATGATTGGTGGGATTATAAGAAGAGATTAGGACACAGATACATAAAGATGACCATGTGACAGCACAGGGAGAAGATGGCCATCTAAAAGCCAAGGAGCGAGGCCTCAGAAGAAACTAACCTGGCTAACACATTGATCTTAGACTTCTAGTTTCCTGAATTATGAGAAAATAAATTTCTGTTGTTTAAGTCACCCAATCTGTGGAACTTTGTTATGGCAGCCGCAGCAAAGGAATACACCCCTCAAGGGCAACCACTTTTAATTTGCTCCAAAGCTCAAATTAGGGAAATATTTGCCAAGTCTCTTGTCATTTTTTCCCTCTGCCTCTGTATTTCCCATCGTATCTTTTCATGTTGTATATCATATATGTATATGTCCCAACCGTATTCAGTAGTGCCTATCAAGGACCTTGAGCACGAACATTGTGTAAGAAATGCCTGAAAGGGAAACATGTTGAAAGAAGTGTATCAGCCTCTGGGCTGATACATATTGATTGCCCTCAAAGGAAGCTCATTGAGGACACTGGTTCTATTTTCTAAAGATTTTCTCTAGGAAACAAAATTTCTTGCCATGAAACATATCTGGCTGAGAGAGTACAGAGCAGTGACATTAAATGTAATTGACATTAAAGCATCTATCTCTCTGGACCGCTGTTGATGGCGCTCCCAAGGTTTCAGGGCTCGTGTTGCAGCAAGCACTGACATTCAAGCTTGCCAGTCATCTGGAACACTGAGCTCTTGTCCTCTCCCCCAGACACAGAACAGCCTCCAGGGTTTGAGCAGATAAGTTTCTGACATTCTGACATTCCATGGGGAGGGCTCAACTGAAAACTTTTATTTGATCTTTTTCTCTGAACTTTCTTTTCTCTCCTGCCAGCTTCTCTCCTTTGAGTCCTATTCCATGATCTCACCTGTCCCCAGAGATTTACCTTTCCTTCTTGAAATTTTGGCCCAAGTTTGGAAAATACAAAATCCTCTTTTCTTGTTCTCCTTCATAAAGCTGAGGCAGGTTGGAGCATTCAAAAGGAATTTTACTATCAACTATGGAAGGGAGGACCCCACAGACACATATACATAAGGAGCATAAAAACATTTATGAAGTACCGTATTGGGTTTTTTTTTTTTTTTTTTTTTTTTTTTTTTTTTTTTTTTCGTGTCTGGCAACGGATCGCAACCCTCAGTGTTGCCCCCGTACCGGACTGGGGACCGGCAACGGGATCGCAACCCTCGGCGTTGCTCCCGCGCCTCGCTCAGCCAGTGAGCGGGAACCGGTCTGTATGTGGGATCCAAACCCTCAGGCGGGAGCGCCGCCGCGCTTCCCAAGCGGCGCACTATCCAGTGCACCACCGGGCCGGCCTACCGTATTGGTTTTGAAACAACTGTCCCACTTCACTTGCTCATAGGCACTAATTCTTTCCACCTCTAGTTTGAAGAGATTCCCCTTTAAATCCTGGGCTTTTCTTCCTTTGGTTCTTTTCTGTTTTCTTTTAGAGAAGGCATTGGGATTAGCCTTTTATCATAATGCTGAGCTTCTGGCCAAAAAATGAGGTTGATGGCTCACCCCAGGATGAATATGAAGCCCTCGTATTTTTCATCTCTTGTCTCCAATGGCAAGACAGAGTCTGTGCTAAACCATGCCCTCTCTCACCCCCTTGTCCACGCAGGTAGGCTCAAGAGGCCTTCCTTGCACCTTATCCTGACTTGACTTCTATTAGTCAGTGAGAAGCTGGCTTCTCCTTGTGTTTGGAGTGTGGGCCAGCCAACTTGAAGACACAAAACTAGCCCCCTATCCTACAGCTCCGACTAAATAGCTACAGAACTTATAGGCATATTGGCTGGTGGGCCAGCTCTACATGGAGGCAATTGCCAGTTATGTAGTATTTATGGGCCCACATTTTGGAGTTTGGAAGTTTTGTCCATTTTTGTTATCCATGCAACTAGGGCCTTGAGAAGATGGATATTATATCCTGGAGTTTTACAATGTTAGCCTGGAAGAAACCTTAGGTATCTAATCATGTCAGATATCATGAAATATAGCATGGCATTTGAAACCAGAAGATCCAGGTTTGAGCCCTGGTTCTATCGTTAACTAAACAGAATGACCTTGGATAAAACCCCCTCATCTTTTTATGCCCCTAAATAGTAAACACTTTACTCTTCACTGGGATGATCACAATTCATTGTGGAAGCACTGATGATCACTCACTGATCAGAATTTCTGATGGGCGGTTATACGTGCCTTTGATGAATATAATGGGAAATGAAATATTTAGTTACTGCAATTGTTTGGTAGTCAAAAGTATTTCAAAATATGGGGCTCATTGGAAGGAAAACAATTGAAAGAGTCTTGGTGGTTAAAAGTTGGGGACTATTAGAATAGGTGACACAGAAATCCCTTCTAACTCTGACACTCTAGAATTCTTGTCTTGTGTTATCATTGTACAAGGAAAGGATGTGAAGCCTGGGCAAGCATTGAAGGTGGGAATAGCAAGGTGGTGAGGGACTAGCGAGGGCTGGAGGAGGGAAAGAGTACCTACTTGATGACCACTATTTGTGACACAGCAAATCTGTTCTCTCATTTAACACAGCCATCCTATGAGGAAGATATTATTATCTTAAGGATGGAGAAACAAGCTCAGAAAGGTTTGGTTTTTCATACCTTACAAGTGGTAGATTTAGGATTTTACTCCAGTTCCAGGTCTGCTGGTTTGCAAAACATGTCCTTTTTCTGATACCATAATGTCCTTTCATCTACAGATGTGGTAGCCAGACTCCAAGATGGCTCCAAAGACACTTGCCTCCTGGTAAGGATTCCTCATGTCTTTGTATATTTTCTTCCTACATTGAATTCGACTGAGCTTTGCAACCTGTAGGATTCTGTCCGAGTGATAGTGTGTCACTCCCAAGGCTTCGTCATAAAGCATATTGTGGCTTTTACCTTGCTCTGTTAGATTGCTCTCTCTGGGGGAAGCCAAGCACCATGGCGTGGAGACAATAGAGCAGCCCATGGAGAGGCCCATGTGGGGAGGATCTGAGACCTCTTGCCCACAATCAGCACCATGTAAGTATGCCATCTTAGAAGCTGTAACAGACTGAATGTCTGTGTCCCTCCAAAATTCATATGTTGAAGCCCTAACCTTCAGTGTGGCTGTATTTGGAGATGGAGCCTATAAGGCAGTAATTTAGGTTAAATGAGGTAATAAGGGTAGGGCTTTGATCCAATAGGATCATTGTCATTATAAGAGGAGACACCAGAGTGTGCTCCCCTTCCCCCAATTCATACATAACAGAGGAAAGGCCATGTGAGGATGGCAACCATCTGCAAGCCAGGAAGAGAGCCCCCACCAGACACTGAATTTGCTGGCACATTGATCATGAACTTCTAGCCTCCAGAACTGTAAGAAAATAAATGTCTATTTTTTAAGCCCCTCAGCTGTGGTATTTTATGACAGCTTGAGCAGACTAACACAGAAGCAGATCCTTCAGTCCCAACCAAGCCTCCAGATGACCATAGCTCCACCTTGGCTGCAAACTCAGGAATGATCCTGAGCCAGAACCACCTAGCTAAGCTGCTTCTGAATTCCTGATCCACAGAAACCATAAAAGAATAAATTTTTGTTGTTTTAAGCCACTAAGTTGAAGGTAGGGGGCATGTAATTTTTTACACAGCAATTGATAATTGATATGAGATGTGAGGAAGAGGATCATTTACCCCAAGACAGTACACCCCATAGGGAAAGTCATTTGTAGTACTTTACCTGTGAGATGGAGCTCAGCTATGCTCCACCCCTCAGATAAAAATCTCACAAATGGTGCTTCCTTTTTCCCAGAAAGGTTTGCTAAGCATCCCCTGCAGCAATGCATACAGCTCCAGGGAAAACTTCCATGGATATCACCACTTGGACACTTTGTTTCCAGGACTCTGTCTTTTACTTTGCTAATAAATTATTTTGGTTAAGATATTTATTGAATGGCTTATAACCAAGTTAATGTTTAACAGCTTCAGGAGCAGGAACTCTGAGGGATACATATATTCCTAGGAGAATGGAAGAATTACAGAGGTCATATCCCTGGAACCAATCTGTCAGTTGGCTCTACATTCCAAAACAAAATTCAGAGCAACTTGGAGAGGTGACCATCACAGTGTAGCCCCAGCAGGGTGGGATACAGTCATATTCATATGCAGTAGTACAGTACAGCCAAATAAGCATGTTTTGGTCAATGACAGACATATACGACGGTGGTCCCATAAGATTATAACAGAACTGAAAAATTCTTATCACCTAGTGACATCATAGCCATCATAATGTCATAGCACAACACATTACTCACGTGTCTGTGGTGATGCTGGTGTAAACAAAACAACTGCAAAATACGCTGAGAGGGAGTGCCGAGCTCACCCACAGGATGACCCTCCCAAAGTTAGCTCACGCCTTTGAGATAGAAAGCCAAGCATGTGACACATCAGGTCTAACTGCAAGTAAAAGGATTGTTGTCTACTTTAGAATTGTTGATTTTTTTTTTTTTGTGACCAGTAAGGGGATCATAACCCTTGGCTTGGTGTCGCCCGCACCGCACTCAGCCAGTGAGCGCACCGGCCATCCCTATATAGGATCTGAACCTGTGGCCTTGGCGCTCCCGGCGCCGCACTCTCCCAAGTGAGCCACAGGTCCGGCCCTAGAATTGTTGAATTTTTAAATGATTCCCACCCATCCCCATAGCAAAACAACAGTTAATAACAGCTAATACTCACTGAGTGCTTGCTTAGTGCCAGGCACAATCTCTACCTGTAATTTAATTTTCATAACTTTGTGGGGGTGGTATTATTCTAATCCCCATTTAACAGATGGGGAAAGGGAGCACAGAGAGACGCAGTAACATCATCAGAGTCCATGCACATGTGACTAGTGGCCAGTGTAGAATATAGGAAAACTCATTGCTGTTCCCTTTCACAATACAGTTCATACAATGACAAAATCACCTGATGACACATTTCTCAGAACGTATCCCTGTCCCTGTTAAGGGACATATGATTGTATTCTGAGTAGCCTTAACACATCAGGCCTCACTTTATATAATTCCAGTCCAGGAGAATTCTAGAATGTCAGAGCTGGAATATCTTAGAAATCACCCAGGACGACCTCTTTGTGTCACAAATAAAGAAGAAATTAAGGTCCAGGGGTTGAGTGTCTTGCCCAAGTGTTCACAGCATGTAAGTGTTGGAGCAGAGACTGGGACTCTGGTCCTTTTGGATTTTAAGTGCAGATTGTTCTACTTCCCTCCAGCACTGGGGGGAGAGTAGGAAGCTATTTTCTTCTCCTACGTGAGATCTTGGAACTGACTCAGGACTGTGCCGTTCCCCTCCCTGCAGCCAATTCTTCATTAAATGAATTTTTTCTTGCTCCTTCTTACCTGGTCCATTCTGCACAAAATGCCCAGGTTTGGTCTCCCAGGCTTTCACAAAGATCACTCAAACCACCTGAAAAGGGCACTATGCTGCTTTGCCCAAAGTCTGATGCCCAGCCAGCCTTCATCAGGGCAGGAAGATGGTGTAATGGGAAGTGCCCAGACTGCAGATTTAGACTTGGGGCTCTAATATCGGCCATTGGTCCACCCTGGGATCTTAAGCAAGTAACATATTGCTTCTCAGCCTCTAAGTGCCCTTCCAATTATAGCCTGCCATCCCATCAGTCAGAGAAAGCAATCCCTTTTAATGACTTAGCCAGCTCTCAGCACGCCTTGATAATGTAATGCTGCAATCTTGATAAAATGCTTCTCTCCTGGAGAAGACTATTTAAGAGCAAGTACAATGGTAGAGAATTCAAGCACTGGAAAGTCCCAGTGTCAATCGTTACTGGTAGAAATCAGACTCAGGGACTGCAGGGACAGTACTGCCTTGTGGTGATGGCTTAGCAGCTCTGGGTGGACCAATTTGCCTAGGGGCCTCATTGCCTCCATCTTTAAAAGGGTGCATGTCATGCTGTTGGATATATTATTTTAGTTCTGCAATAAATCACAAAGCCAGTAGTATACCTGAATATTTACAGTCCCTAAAATCAGGGTTTGTTCAACTGTCGTCCTCACATTGTGCTGGATTCAATAAACACAGAAGCTTTGGACCTAGACAGACCTGGATTCAAAATCTGCTTTATCAGGCCAGCCCATGGCTCACTCGGGAGAGTGTGGTGCTGATAACACCAAGGCCAGGGGTTCGGATCCCATATAGGGATGGCAGGTTAGCTCACTTGGGAGAGTGTGGTGCTGACAACACCAAGTCAGGGGTTAAGATCCCCTTACAGGTCATCTTTTAAAAATAAAATAAGGGCCGGCCCGGTGGCGCACTGGTACAGTGCGCCGCTTGAGAGCGTGGTGGCGCTCTCGCCAAGGGTTCGGATCCCACATACAGACCGGTTCCCGCTCACTGGCTGAGCGAGGTGGGGGAGCAACACCGAGGGTTGCGATCCCGTTGCCGGTCCCGGTCCGGTACGGGCACGACACTGAGGGTTGCAATCCGTTGCCGGACACGAAAAAGGACAAAAAGGAAAAAAAATAAAATAAAATAAAATAAAAATAAAATAAAATAAAATAAAAATAAAGACCAAAGATCTGTCAAAACATTAAAGAAATTATTGTGTTTAAATGTGGATCTGGGGCTGGCCCGTGGCTCACTTGGGAGAGCGTAGTGCTGACAACACCAAGTCAAGGGTTAAGATCCCCTTACCGGTCATCTTTATTAATATATAAATAAATTAATGTGGATCTGTATGTGTTATTTAAAAAAAAAAAAAGATTTAAAAAGTGTCTGGAAAGTCCAGCAAAAACCCAAACCTCCCAGGAACTATTTAACCGTTACTTTCAGTGAGAAGGCAAATAGCCTGCGTACCTTCTGGAACATGCTCTACCAGATTACTGAATCAGCCCATGTGGGAGCTTGCAGGTCACTGTGAAGCTGTGTGGCCCGCCATGGGATGACCCACACATGACAGGAAACAGGATGAAGAAACGGAGTTGCGGTGGGTGGGAAGGGAAAACTGTGTCTCAAGTCTCATGTGTGCCCTCATGCTGCAGGCAGCCAGTGACACCCCCAAGCAGGTGTGGCAGGCGTCCAAGTGTATGTAACATCTGAATGAGAACATGGGAACGTGTAGTTTCCTGGATGGCATCAATGAATGCTTGAAATTGGTGTGCTGCGTTGGTTTCAACAGTGTTAGCTTTTCTCTACTGCTTCAATCCTGCGATAATTATCTCACACTTAATAGGGACCGGCAAGAACAATTACAAGAGAGTGAGGTAAGTGCTAGTGGAGTGGTGAGAAGCCAGGTGTGCCGTGGGACACACAGGGAGACACTGTGCTACCCTGAATCTGCAGGGAGCAGGAGGTGTTTCCATAATTCTCTGCAAACGCTCTCAGCCAATTAATAATTGTTACTTAAAAAATAAACAAACAAAATATTATTTTCAATTTCTAGCCCAAAAAGGAAAAAAATGGGGAATTTGTTAATTTTTTTTGTATCCACCATATTTGTTTGTTATGTTAAGACCTCCTGCCTGATGATGATGATTTTATTTTTCTAACAAGCTATTAAATGCTTGGAGAACCACAACACAGACCCTGGTGGTACACATTTATTTCAACAATCCAGCTACACCCTCATGAATTTAATATTTTTCCTGAGAGGTAAATAAATACTGACATTTGGGGAAGGACACTTGTTAGAAGCAGATTTTGCTGAGTGTCTTTGTCGCACTTTTTAATGATTTCCTAAATGCTGACTCATATGAACTCTTTTGTTGTTGTTGTTGTTGAACACTTTTTATCTCAAGGGAAAATAAGAGAGCACAGCAGACATGCAATGCAAGAACCTCGGGGACAGGAGCTGAACTATCGCAATTATTTGGGATGGTTCAGGTTAGAGATAAGTCTTTGATTTACTGATTTCCTAAGATGCCCAGGATGGCTTTGTCCTGCTTCAGTTCTCTTCCTTTTGAAGTCTCCTCCTCTGTAAACATCTCAGGCATGCATGCTTCAAAGAAGTCAACAAGGAACTTGCCCTCCTATTTATTAATTGAAACTGGCAGCGTTAGGTTTCCTTGGCTTTCCTCTGACAGCAACACTGGAAGGGGGCAGGGATAGCAGTTACTCAACCAAAGGTAGGTACTGTGTGCTCACACATTGGCTAGCCCTGGGCTCTGCTGGTTGGAATTTGCAAGAGCAATACTCTAAGACTTGGTCTCTAGCCAAAAGTTACTATAATCTATTTGGGGAGGTAGAACAGAAATAGATGGAGCAAATAATTTAACCCGTTAAATATTTATCAAGCCCTTACCATGCTCTAAACCAGTCACGCTCAGCTTGCATGTGAGAAGCACTGATTTTTTTCCTTTAAACACAGAATGGATGGGCTTCACCCCCCCCAGAGCAGCGGTCTTCCAAGAATAATTTTTGGACCAGCATCAACATCATCTGGGAACTTGTTTCACATGCCAATTCTTGGGCCCAGACTCTCTAGCGATGGGTTTCAGCAATCTGTGTTAAGAAAAGCCCTCCAGGTGCTTTAATGTGCATGGGCTCAAGTTTGAGAACTGCCTGATTAAGTAGGCCTGGTGTGCAATGTGGGGGTTGGCTCCTAAATATTTGCAAAACTGCACAGAGTATATTGATGTGCAGCCAGGATTGAGAACCACTGTGCTGGCATGTGAGAGAGGCAGGGATGGAGAATATGGCCCCTAACAAAAAGGAGCTCACGGTTTAATGGATGATATTAAACCGAATGCCACAGAATAGCTCTGTCTAGAGGGTAAGTTCCCAGAGAAGTTGGATCTCACCTCAAAGTTGAGCAGGATTCCAAAGAGCTGCAGAAAGACCTTTTAGAAGGACAGATAAGCAAAAGGACCAGAAGCAGGCAGGAGTGGGAAGAACTGACAGCAACCCACTCTTTACTCAGCCTTGAAGAAAGCATCCATTTATTCACTTAACAAACATTTCCTGAGGGTCTGTTCTTATAGATGATTATTTATGATTTATAGCTCACCAGTTTTCAAAAAGGATTTGAGGTGGTTTAAAATGTTAAAACCCATCCAAAACAGGTACATAAATGATGCAAATAGAACAGAGACCCATTAAAAGGAACTGGGAAACAGATCTTTCAGGCACCTGGGATGAGTTAACTGAGGGCTTGCTAGGAGCAAGGAACTGCAAGAGGTGCCATGGGTTTACTGAGACATGGAGGAACTGGTAGTCCACAAGGGAAGATAAGGACATAAATAAATAACCACATTTAGGCAAAGAGCTATGGAGCGATTGGAGGGCAGGAGAGATGATTTCCAGCTGTGGAAGTGGGCACCCATGCCCTGAAGGAGGGAGAGGGTTTGGATGCTGAGGGACAGGGAGGTTAGGGCCACAGTTAGAAGCAAGAAGCAGCATCAGTGGAGTGAAGACATCTACAAAGTCTGGAAGGCAAAGAAGCAGTGGAGATAAAAGAGTAGGATAAATCAATAGGATTGAGAGAGTTCTCACTAAAAAAGTTGAGGGTAAATCTTACAGGGTTTTAACTTGAGTATGAGAAATTTGTGTCTAGTTTGCTAGTCAGCGAAGAATGACTGAAGGTGTTTCAACATGGGAGTAACATGGAGAAAGCTATATTTTAGGAATACTCATTTAGTAGGATGGAGTGGGAAGAGAGGCAGGGAGACCACTTAGGAGGCTCAGGCCCAGTCTAGACTCCAGAGCAGAAGTTAGCATGGTCCGAGCTGGAGATGGCAGAGCAAGAGAAAAGAAGACAGTTGAAAGAGATACTCTGGATTTATAATCTACAGCTTGCTACTCGTGGTCCGGGACCAGCAGTGCCAGCATCCCCCAGGAGCTTGTGAGAAATGCAAACCTTGGACCCCACCCAGACCTACTGAATCAGAATCTGCATCTCACCAAGAGCCCTGGGTGATCTGAATGCACAGTAAAGTGAGAGAAGCACTGGCCTTGGGGGGGCCTGGCAACTTCCCAAGTATAGGGAGTAGGGGAGGGAGAAGATCCTAAGATTATGTGAGATGTTTCAGGGATCAAGTCATAAGGGGTTGGGGATAGAGTCAGAATAAGTTTGCTTTGAGGCTGAGAGGACCAGACTAATGACCAGCTTATGGGTTTTGAGGTTAATAGAGGGATATGTTGGGAGCCAGAGTGTCTCTGCTTAAGTTTTGTATCCTTACTCCAACCTGTTGTAACCGTGGAGACACTTAAATCACATTTGTACAGATTCCCTCCGTAAAATGGAGAAATGTCAAAATTGCCCACATTTTATGGTTTATAAGAAAAAAATCCAAATTAATTGACCAAATATTTATTTGCCAACAAAAATAAAGGTGATAGTGATACTGACAACAGCATAACCTACCGTTTATTGAGTGCTTGCTGTTCCAGGTAAAGTGCAGTGCTAAATAATTTACTTCTATGCAAATCAATAGTTTATGCCTACCAACAATTATCCTTGTCGGATATATACCTACTCCTTTTGTATCATATAATTTATTTTTTTGTCTGTCTCCCTCCATAGACTACCCAATAACTAAAGTAAGACCTTACAATTAGTAGGAACTCTGATTTTTTTTTTTTTTTTTTTTTTTAATGAATGAAAAACCAATTGAGTGAGAATAGCCACCTGCAGAGCACTTTAAACAGCGTGAGGCTTTGGCACATACTATATTGCACTTGTTTATGAATCTGCCTTGTATGAAAAGAGACAAGTTTATCCATTTTCCTGTTTCCAGTAATGAACCCAGTGTCAGGCATGTGATCGGTGCTCAATAAATTTTGATGAATAAATAAATTTGCAGTTGCACTAAAAGAGTTTTAAAATGTGATAATAAACTCCTAAAATTAATAAGTGACTTTAGAATCCTTGCAATTGAAATGAACCAAAGAATGTTGTAACATAATCAAGTATATCTTAAGTCTGTCATAACAGAAGGGTCATGATCTCTGCAAAGTTCTAGAAAAAGGAACTATAAAAATGGGATTTTCACAGTATCATTTCACATTGTAAATGGGACAGGCTATTCTTCCGATAAAAATAGACTACTCTTTAGACTAGAGGCATCCTCTCCAGTTTTACCAGCCTGATGGAAGGATCCTCATATCCACCAAAGCAATGTCTGAGGACACCGTATCCCCGGGAGGGAGTGTTCTGAACAAGTAACTAACCTTGGTATAAACAGGCTGCTAAAAACAGCCTGACTGTAGAAAGCAGTTTGAATCCCAGCTCCACCATGTGCTAAATCTGAAACTTTGAGCAGTTTGTCTGATCTCTTGGAATTTTAGTTCTTTCATCTGTAAAGTAAGAATAAAACTATCCTCTCGCGGCAGTGAACTTTAAAAAAATAAGATAGTGTGTATGAAGCCCTTAAACCAGCACTTCATACCTAGCACATGATATTAATGCTCCTTGTCTATTCCTGTCCCTGACCATCCCATCCTTCTCCTTCCATCCCAGATGTCCTGCTCATGGTTAACAAGGACTTTGTTATTATTCTGCATTCCCACAGGTACATGCAGATCTCTGGTGTCCATGGTGATTATCTGAAAGTACTGATTCCCTGTGGTCTCAGCAGCCAGCCAAGCTTTCCTTTTTTTAGCATCATTATTTGCAGTTTCCTGACTTGCTAGAAACTCACCTAGCCAGCTTCAAGGATAGTGCTCTTTTTGTCTTTTCTTTTTGTTTGTTTGTTTGTTTGTTTGTTTGTTTGGCAGCTGGCTTGTACAAAGATCTGAACTCTTGACTCTCATGTTATAACACCATGCTGTAACCAACTGAGCTAATCGGCCAGCCCCAGTGTTTTTACCCAACCCAAAGTCTGCAGGGACCTTTTCTAAACCCTCTCCCTAATTTTTCCTCATCCTAGGGACTAAGAGAGCACAGGGTCTACCTAGAACCCATGTAACCCAGTGCCCTCTCCACAAGCAGGTACCATGGAAATCAAGGTGATGCAAAGGGGCTGAACTTGCCACAGGTCAGTGATCTGAGTGGACTGTCAACACCATCAAGCCATCTTTCCCTTTCCCAAGCTCTAGTAAAGGTTTGCCACTTCCAGATTGCTTAAGGGGTCTTGAATTAAATTTCAAGGAAAAATTAAAGAAAAATTCAAGGGGCATAAGGACTGAATTCCCTACCACAAGCCATATGCACTTGTCCCACATTAAAACTCCACTAAAAACTGATGATTTGTGGCCATGATCCTTCCATTCATTCCACCCTCCAAACTCCCTTCTGCAACTGGCTTGTTCTTACCTTGCAGGCCTGAGGGGGGAGAAGTTGAGCCCAAGTTCTGGGAAATTGGTGGTTGGGTGCAGGGAGGTTTCTAGTAGTTATCGCCTGCTTTCCCACATCCAGGTGCCTCTTTTCATTTCTTTTGCCCAACCACAGGGCTACACCCTCTTCAGAGGGATTGACTATAAATGGTCATCAGGGGGAAGCAGCTAGAATGCCAAGAGCTACAAGCCTGACAGAGCTTGTGTATCAGCCTGACAGTTTCAATAGCCCAGAGTCTGCATGGAATCCCAAACAGCCCTGGTTGCTTCCTCCCCAACCACAGGCTGCCTGCCTGCCTCCCTGGCCTTGTTTAAACAAGATGAGGGCAGGCTGTGTTTGGACTAGAAGGCCAGTGGCCTTTCCCCAATGCGGGAAAACAGGTCAGCAGGACATTGCTCAGCCTGAACATGAGCTGCTTTCTTGCTTTTAGGTCTTCCCAACTTTCAGAAACTGGGAACATAGGAGTTTCATCATCTCAGAAGTCTGCTGTGAAAGGTGAGACATGTCCATGGCTAGTGCAGATTGTTTGAGTCCGAATAGTAATCATTATAGCCAATGTTACTGTGTGCCAGGCACGGCACTAGGTATTTTGGGGTAATGGGAAGATAGTGTTTAGCTCTGGGCACATAGTAAGTACTCAATAAGTGATAGCTATTATTACCAGTATTCTTATAGATCATCCTATGAAGAGATATCGTCACTGTATTAGTCCATTTCTGTTACTTGTAACAAAATACCTGGAACTGGGTACTTGGTAAGAAAACAAAATTTATCGTTACAGTTTCAGAGGCTAGGAAGTCCAAAGTCCAGGAAACATATCTGGTGAGGGTTTTCTTTGGTGATGGCTTTACAGCAATGCAGGGGTCTTACATGGCAGAAAATGGTGGAGCAGAGACAGACTCACCTCCAAGGTACTCTTCTTTTAAAGCCCTCAGAACCACACCACTGACCACCATTATTAATCAGTTCACTATGACATGGAACTACAATCTAATCACCTCTTCAAGGCCCCACTTTTCAATTACTATAATAGGATTTCCCACCTTCAACAGTTAACAGTGGGGATTAAGCCTCAGTGAGGCTGGGGGGACATCCAGTCTACAGCAGTCATTATCCTTTGTTTTTGGCAGCTGAGGAAACAGACACTCAGAGAAGTTCAAGAACTTATTTAAAGTTCCATAGCCATCAAGTTAGAAAGACGGGATGCTAAGCCAGGCAGGTTTGATTACAGAGATGGTGCTGTAGCCTCTATTCTGTGCCACCTCTTACAATGGTGGCAAGGAGATGATCATGGATTACGTCCCCAGCCCTAAGAAAGTCAGCTCCTCGCTCTGGGCTTGCAGTATGAGTTGAAGCAAAGGCCTCTCAGGATCCTTCCAGCCTAACCTGCTCTGACTTCGAGCTGAAGATCATGGGGAAAGGGGTAGCTCTTCTCTAGTTTAGAAACCGCCTCCTTCCTTGTGCAGGAGAAAACTGTTGCAGAGAGGGGAGGATCGTCAAGTTGCATGAGAAGCAAATGAAGAGAGCATGGTCCTTCTTATCAGGCCCAGGGAAGAAAAATGGACAGACTACCTCGCCTGAAAGATGTTTCTGAAAGCAGAGAGCCCATTCTTAAACTGACTAAGGCATACCAACTTGCCAAGGCCAGCAAAGGAAGTGGGATTGGAGAATCTTTTTCCTAAGAATCTGAGCTGAAAAACGCTATCGGGGGTCAAAAATCTGCCACCATCATGTCCTCTTTCTACTTCATCCACTGTCCCCTGTTCCCCTAAGTGGGACTTTTGCTCTTTGCACAAAGCATACCTTGTAGGGAGGACCAGGTATTGGGCAGGGCAGCGCAGTGGCATCACACCCTGGAGCTGGGGCTGGACAGCACCAAGGGCAGCCACCCCACCCCCATGGGCTCTCCCCATCAGGATTGCACTGTTTTCATCTTGAGGCTTTTCTCTGAAAGCGCTTCTTTCCTTTCGAACTTGGACACGACTGCAGTATTGGGCTACTTAGTTTGGAATGAAGCAGGTTGCAGTCTGAGGAACCTTTGGGGCAGCTTTTCTCCTTGCCATGCAACTGCCCTGCAGTGCCCCGTGGCGGGGGAGGGGGGGTGGGTGTAGGACAGCTGGTCAGCTGTCCTGCACGGTAGTCAGAACCTTCCCAAACCCATCCTTTTGTTGTCAAAATTCACCTCCTGCAAGAAGCCCTCTGGGATTGGATTCAGTGGCACTTTATTTTCATCCTGTCCCACCTCTGTGAAATTTACAAAGTTTGTGGACTGCTAATTATGTTCTCATTTACATTTCTCTGAGGTTGGTGCTGTATCTCAGGTCTTTACTGTTCGTTCTTCCTTCTCTATTTTGTATATTGCATTAGATTGGGTGTCCAGTAAGAACAAGAAGCTCTAGGTCTATTCTCCCTCACCCCTTTTGCCCTCCCTCCTACCCCCTCAACCCACCCCCACCCCTCACCCCCGTAGGTCATGTAGCGTCTAGTCTGGGCTCTGTGCAGGGATGGGGGCATACGAGAGGGTGGTGGAGAAATTCCTGGTCTTCAGAGACCTCTGGATGTGAAAGACCACCATAAGGAAAGGAGGGACTCAATAGAGCTTTGGTCCCACAAAGGTCCAAGCATCTATTTTTGCACTCTGAAAATGAGCTGTTGGGCCCCTGCTGGGGAGTATCCTCACAACACTGGGGCTCCCCGGAGGCAGCTGGGCTCTGAAGGCCCAGGAGGAGGTACAAGGAGGGAGAGATTGTGCCTTGGCTGTGGGGGCCTCCGGGACTCCCAGGGGAATCCACAGGCTTCATATATATTTATTTGAACTTAACATGCTAATAAGTGTTGTGGAGCCAAGAACCCTGCTGGGTTTTGTGAGCAATGGGCCTACTCTTAACACAGTCATCTTTGTCTGCAGGGCTTTAGGTTCAAATTGCAGATCTGGGCTTGGAAGCACAGCTGACATGGAAACCTGCCTGGGCTCACAGCAGAGTCACAGTGGGCTCCAGGAGACGGCGGGGCTTCCACCCTGTTTTCTCAGACACTGCACTGAAGTCTAGGACTGGCTGAGGCCATCTTTTCCATCTTCCAGTCTCCAAGAAGGATAGTGTCTGACCCCTCTTAGATAGGGAGGTTTTTACCCCTTCTTAAGTCATCCCTCTACCCCAACCATTTATTGACTCCAATGACAGCAACCTGTGGAAGTTCCTCCTTTTGGCTGACTTATATCTGCTTTGCTGAGCATGAAGCCTTCTTTTTCTTATTGCTCTAAGGCATGAAGATCAGCTCACAGACATAAAGACTGTCTGCTTGGCATTAGTGCTCCCTGCCGCCTTCTGGTCCTAGCTCAATCACCAATCCCTCTCTCTGTTCATCACTGGGCAGTGACTCTGTGCCAGGCACTGTGCATACCAAGCCGAGTGAGTCCCAGGCATCATCTGCACAATCACATGGGCTTGTGTGGGAGACATTCAAATACATTATCACAACAAAGCCTGATCCTTGTAACATGGAGCTATGAGCAACATGTTTGGGGAGCCAAGCAAACAGCAACCAGCTCTGCTTGGGACTGACAAGTAGTAAAGTTTCCCAGAGGAGCTAACCTCTAAGCCTGGCCTTAAGGCCAAGCAAGCATTTGCCAGGTAGAAGAGGAGGGGAAATTAGAGGGAAGAACTTGCATGAAGGCCAGAAGGTCTGAAAGGGTCTGGCCTGTGTGGGGAACAGCAAGTCATGCTAAGGAGTTTGAAGCCTGTCTCCTAGTCTAGAGTCAACAGGTAGCCAAGGCCAGCTGTAAGCCACGGGGCCAGGCTGATCTCTTGGCGTAGAGGTAGATAACTCTGGAGACAGCAGGCTGGACTGAGAGGGGCTGGGCTGGAGGAGGGAGGGCAATAGGGAGGCTTGTGTACTAATTTAAGCAAAAGAGAAAGCCATTTAAGGACTGGTGGCACTTAGATGTTTAGCAATTTGTACGTAAGATTTTAAAAGCAAAAGTTACATGTACTTATTGTACAAAACTTGGACAATAAGGACCAAAATAATGAAGAAAATAACAATCACCTGTATCTGCTCTTAACATTTTGGTACAAATTTCCTTTCAGTCTTTTTTCCATGCATTCATACATTTACACAGTAGACATTTTACTATGTAAACAGTTCTGTAGTTTTTTTATAACTCAACATTATATCATGAGCATTTATCCAAGTCATAAAATTCTTTTATCTATTTTATTGGCAGTATTACATTCAATTGTGTGTATTCATGAATCATAATTTATGTGACCCCTTTCCTATTTGGGGACATTTAGTTTGTGCCAGTATTTTTGCCACAATAAACGTTTCTGTACATAAAATTGTTGCACATTATATTTGATTATGTCATTACCATAGGTTCCTAACAACGGAATTATTGGGTCAAGGCTATGAAAGTTCTTAAAATTCCTGAAGCTGACTTTTAAACTGTACTTTAAAGAGGCTTGTGGTGCCGGTCCCGGTCCGGTACGGGTGCGACACTGAGGGTTGCGATCCGTTGCCGGTCACGGAAAAAAAAAAAAAAAAAAAAGGAAAAAAAAAAAAAAAAAAGAGGCTTGTGCTATTTCTACCCCACCAATAATATATGAGCGTTCCTGGAGGGACACTCTGTACGGGCCACGGTATCTTCCTCCTCACCATCTTGCATGACACCTCTTCGGGGTACATGAGATATCGTACCTCATACCCTTGGATACAGACCAGGAGCTTCACTCTCCTCTTTATCATTTCCTCAAAGTCAACACCCTCTTTTCCCAGACTCCCCAGAATAATTGTCAGTTAAGAGCAGATATGTTTGCTTTGACCTCTTTGAATGAAGTCACTTCTGGAACAAGATGTTAGGTAGGATCATCCCAGAGCGAGCTGTGTGTCCCAGCTGCAGTGCTGGCATTAGAGCATTTATCCATGACACAGGACTGCTTTTTCATGGCAGGAACCACCAGGGCTTTCTGGGAGAGACCTTTGTTCTATCCTGATATTCCTAAAGTATTCTCATGGTAGTCAGACCTTAAAGCTGCTTCTATTTGTAAAGCATGGTCTTACACGCATGCATTCATAGACATGTGTAGACGTGGGCTGACATTCCTTTTGGTACATGCCAGATGGAAGTCTGTGCATAATAACCACAGGGAAGGATTGCAGTGCCTGGCTCATTACAAAACATTTTAGTGCATATGATCTCATCTTCAGAGTTGGTGGGATTAAGAAAAAGAGCACAGGCTTGGCAATAGGGTATATACCAAATTTCTCAACCTTTAAGAGCCTCATCTTCCTCCTCAGTGAGTTAGTATTCTCACTTTGCAGATAAGGAAACTGAGGCTCAGGAATAAGTGACTTACCTAACGTCACATAGCTGATAAATAATGGTGCTAGCCAGGGCTCCCACACTCTCCACCACATTTTTAAAATTCCAGGCCTAAGAATCTAAACTTCCATGAACCTGAAGCTTTCCACCTGATGTAGGGGCCAGGACATAGTCCTCAGAACCAGCTCTTACTACATTTACTTAAATGCTCTTTCTACAACAATATGCTAACTCATATTTCCCTCCACATCTAGTTCTTTGGGAATAGGAAGTAGTTTGAATTTTTGTTGTTGCATATAGTGTGTAATAGGAAATTCCAATTGTTTCCTTCTTTCCTATTCGGGGAAGCAGGATGGTTAACAGAAAAGGACGACATAAGCGAAAATCATCTGAACTAAACCACATTCTGTCCTGAATCTGGCTCCTCTTCCATCTGTGCACTAAAGCACTATCTCCCGAGATATAATATTTCACATCTAGGCCTGACATTGGGTCTCCTTGAGCTGTTTTGTTAAGCACCGAAAAAAATAAATAACAGAGCCTCCTTCCTCCTTTGGAAGATGTATCTGGTCTCTGGGGAGACTTTTTGCCATGACCTTGCTGGCCTATCCATCTTCTGAAGAAGGCTCTCTGTCTAGAGGCAGCAACCTAAGGTCCTTCATTTTCTCTTTCTATTTAAAGACTCATGAATTTCCTTTAATCTAGAAATTAGGAAGCAGTTAGGATTTTTTAAAAATGGTTGTTTAAGGGTTACTTAATTCATACCCTGTTACTCAACCCAGCATTTTTTCCTTTGGCTTAAGCCATCTGGTTTCTGTTCATTGTGAAACATGAGAGTGGGATGTTAAGCATTTGAAAGTACAGGCAGAGAAAGGGGGAAAGGGCTCAGTATTGCAAAAGTGGTAGAATTTTCTTCATCTTTCATGCCCCAAAAATGTAGCTGGAAGCATTTCAGCTTTGGCTGGATTATGGTTTACTTGGAGCACTGTTTTGTCAACAAGGCTGCCAGCTTATGAGTCTCAGTGTCAACTGGGAACAGCACTCAATGGGTGCCATATGTTAAAGAGAACTTCAGAGGAAGGTGTTTGTCATCAGGATTATGCACAGAAGAGCCTACTCTGAAGGATCATATCCTGGCTTATGCATCAGGTGGCAAGTTTAAGGTTCATCTACTGATTCCCTAACACTATGGTATAAACTTGTGCTGCTGGTCTGTGATAAATTTTCATAGCTTCACAGGGAAGTAAGAAAGAATATAGACATTGCAGTGCTGTGTGTGTGTAAAATGAGTTAACATTTGTAAGATATGGTACTTAGAAGGGTGCCTGGTACACAGTTAACTCTCAGTAAACGTTAGTTGTTATAAACCGCTGTCCATGTACGGCTGTCAGCTGTGTTTTTGTTATTGTTGTTGAAATGCCATTTCTTTCTAGGAATAATTTTAACAGCAGGGAGGTAGTTTACAGTTTTTTTTAAATCTATAGTCAGCAGGCTGGCCAGTTAACTCAGTCGGTTAGAGCACAATATTATAACACCAAGGTCAAGGGTTTGGATTCCTACACTGGCCAGCCGCCAAAAAATAAAACCAAAAGCAAACAAACAAAAAATCTATAGTTATCAATATTTCAATTTGATTTTGCACCAAACTTATTTTTTAAATTTTTTGGTCCCTGAAATCTAAAAGTCTGAGAAACACTAATCTCGGCATGTCTATACTTCAAGTCAAATTTTGTCTAATCCATAAATAGATTACTTTTTGAGTGACCTAAGGAACCTTAGCCATTTGGGCCTTCCACATTTGTTCACAGGTATGGATATCTCTAGAAGGGGGATAGACCAGTGGCCCACAGGCACGCTGCTCTGTAGACTCCTTTCCAAGGTTGAGACTGAGCCAATGGGACCCTAGTTGCTGAGATCACCACTCGCTTTGCTCAGAACTATTTCCTCCCAATGTGAACACCTATTCACTCCCGCTCATTAGCACCTGCTGGGACTGTTGGGGGTGGGAGCTGTATCTCCCCCCAGAAGCAGCCTCCCCGGTGAGAGCAGTCGATTTCCTTCCATGAGCCAAGCCCATCAAGCGAAGCTGCAGCTTTGCTGAGAATGAGCAGTGTACGTGACAAGACCATGGATGCTTCTCCCAGGCTCTACTCATATCACGTGAACACGTGAGAATGACCACTTTGGGTGTCATATACTTCATGTGTGCATGTGGTGCGAGGGACACCAGGTTAATGCTATGCTCAGCTCTGAGTCCTTCCCCCAGGTTTAGGACTAGGTGGATCATTCATTCATTGAACAAATACAGGCTGAGTACTGAGTGTCAGGCACTGCAGAGGATGCAGAGGCAGATCAGGATCGTGCCTTCAGAGAGCTTACGTCTAGAAAATGAAAAAGGACGTGTGAGAATGATTATATTTCAAGGTAGAAGGTGTCTGCTGACGTACTGGGAAGTTTATGGGAGTTTAGAGCAGACAGAGATTACTTGGACGAGGGGAGAAAGGAAGGTCTTAGGGTAAGGATGGCATTTAGGGCATTCAGGCTGTCCTAGAGCAAGCCTCTGTCTTTGAATTCAGAGCCCTTCCCTCAAAATCTTCACTGCTCTCGGGTATTTTGCTCCCTTTGATGTGGTGTGTATTTGGGGGTGGGGGTCTCGGGAGGCAAGGATGAAGGAAAAGGGGGAGATAGGAAGATGGGAAGTGAACATTGACCCTTTGCCTCCTATCCCTGGGTATCTTCTTGGAGGCTCTGGTGTGTCATTCCATCCTTGCTGAACCAGGAACCCTGACAAAAGTGGTCCCTGAGCTGGAGGATCAACCCCCTTGGGTTACATTTTACCTAATTTTTCAGCCCCAGGAACTTGAAGGT